TTTATCGCTAAAATAAATGTATGGAAATGTGCGATATCCATGAGGGATGGATAATGCAGCAGTAGACCTCGTGCTATAGGCGACATATGGCGGTAGACCTCATGCTATAGTAGCACTGTTACACCAATACTAACAAACATGTACATTGTTTCATGTTAACTACCAGAAGTGGTAGTATTAGTAATATTTTTGAACAATTGAAATTTCCGTGGTTGTAACTTCTTTAAATGTGAAAAGTTGTGGTTACAGTGAAACAAAGCAAAAAAAGTATAAATGGGAATACTGATAAATGTTCTTTTTTTTTCATCATTTTATTGTCAAATCATGTAAAACATATTTTACACATAAAAATAACCTTGGCAAACAATGAAGATACATTAGAAAGATCCTTCCTTTTAAAGTTTTATAATCCATTAAAAAAAAATTAGTTTGGAATATTTCTCAATACCTAACTAACTACTCTTTGACACATGAGTTTGTATCAGTACAAACTTAACAAATGACTTCCTTATGGTATATTTACAAGATAATGGTAATATGACAAATGTTTTAAAAACGTAAATCAATAGAAAACAGTAAATCATTTCGTACTACCCCAGAAAAACATGGTCTAATAGAATCGGTTTGAACTACTGGAGAATATGTGAACTTACATTATAATGAAATTGAGCACTTCTAATAAACTAATCTTAAATCTGCTTCTATGAAGCATTTAATAAACACATCAAAAAATTTATAGCCTAAATGCTGGAAGCATTAAAAACTAAAGTCTAAAATTTGTGATAAAAATTTGAGTAACTTTGAAATCGTTATACTGTGTGTATTTATAAACACACACACTGGGTTTCCTTTTCTCTTTGTCCAGTTTAACTGATGTGTTCTAGTATTATATGAGAAGCCTCTTTGCCAGTGACTTGGAAGAGATAAATCTGAAATCCTTTGTGATGCATCTGATTTTGGATCTACGATGGCAAATTAAGAGATATGTGGGGAAAAAATGTACAGTTTATGTAATTTTTAATACAAATATTTTTTAAACCCATCTTGGTACATACAAAATGAAATGGTTATAATTATAACTTATTGTATAGAAACCAATCCTTTTTAATGAACATTTAAAACAAGATCAAATATTTCTGAGGTGCTTTTTTTTTTACTCTTCTTGAAATAAGCTTCTTATTAATTGTATAAAAGTACTCGCACTGTATGCTATTGTTAGCTTGGAGTTTTGTCAAATCCATGTAGGCTATCTGTACTAAACAATTAGTTATCTTTTGTTTGTTTTTCATGAATTAACTAGTACAACAAAATACTGAAGAAGAAAAAAAGGATTGGTCATCCTTAGTTTTTGTCATTATATTTAAATGTACAGTTTCACTTCAGTACGAGTGTTTGAAGCATCATACTGTTGCACTTCATAGTTGACCTTTACTGTTACGGCTTGCTTCATGTTCTCATTTTTACATTGTACTATTGCTCTCTATCTTCAGTTGTTTCCTATGTATAACCTCGTTAATTTTTTCATATTTTACTCGCATTACAAAAATTTCACATCTGCTGATTAATCTTCTTGTTACACATACATCTTGTTCCTGTATTTGAGTTAGAATTGTTCAACCATCACTTCGTACTGTCACGGACTAATTTCACTGTTTACCTTGTGTATTTTGAGCTTGAAACTCAACTTTTCATTCGGTACACCTTTTATAATAGCTCGCTTAGGTACATATCACTCCTGGTCTTCTCGGTGTTAGATAATGGTTTAGTATGACGTTGTTTTTTTATTTAATTATTTTACTTTCAGTTCTCTACTACATGTGGTACACTGTTGTAATATCATACTCTTAATATTTATTCATAAATCTGTAACATTTTTTGATCTGTCACACCACTGTCTGGTTCATCATTCATTTGTAACACCTGTTACACTAAGCACATGTCTATAACACTTCTGTTGTGTTCATGTAACACCAAAACTTTCTTACAAACACTGCCCTCTTCCACACGTTAACAACACTTCCGCTCTCTAGGGCTCTGATGGGAATGCTCATGGTTACCCAAAAGAATGTTGTTGTTTAGAGATTCTTCGATTACTAAAGACTTCTGCTTTTTCAGAATCTACAGAATAAAAACAAAGAAAATCGTCAACTTAAGGAAATTTGTAGGTGTGTGTAGTAACTAAGGAAATACCTATTGCAAAAACCCACTAGAAAAAATTATAAAAACGTATGTTATATTGTAAAAATCACTTAGCAAAAAATGAAAGTGAGAAACAGGAATATTTCTCTTGTTTAAAATGTTAATGTATTTATTTCACTAACTTGTCATGTTTGATCTATATACAGAACAATATGAATCACAGTACATGCATACAACTACCTTTATTCAAAAACTTTTATTTACAATTAATTGTTTAACAAGTCTGTGTGTGTGTATGTCTGCTTATGAGTGACAAACCATTAGACTGGCTAAAAACCTTAAACCTAGAGCTGTGCATGGAGGTAACAATTTGTACCCTCATCATGTGAAGGTTTGTGCTCCACACTTCTGGGGTATGGATGTGTTATTACAAGAGTGATGATAAAATCCCATTATTCGATGACAAGGGTTTGTTTGTAGTTGAGCACAAAGCAAAAATGGGCCATCTATGCTCTTCCAGCCACGGTATCGAAACCCAGTTTCTAGCATTTTAAGTCTGCAGTGGGTGGTGTTGACTAGCTCTTATCTAGTCTATCACTAAACTTCGGAACAGATAGCCCTTGAGTAGGTTTTGCATGAAATTGAACAGAACCAATGATGGTAAAGTGTTAGAAATATATTTAATGCTTGTGGATAATTTAATGAATTAAAATTACGTAATAATTTTCACCACTCTCTTAATTTTGTGAATTTAAACCTAAATTGTTTACTTGATTTACGAAGAAAACTTAATCAATTCCTCAAATTTCTAAAAGGGACCAGAAAGGCGAATACCACAAACAAATGCAGTTGGACTCCAATTAAATAGATATCTATTTGCAGCAAACACTTCGTATCAAATATGCATAATATATTAGTATTACAATTACTCTAGGCCTAAATGTACGTCTGTCTTAAGACTTAAGTTATGAAAAGTTGTAAATAGATTGTACTAAAAACTATGGGTGGAAGGAAACTCATTTTTACTCAGTAAAATAAAAACTTCTAAACATAATGTTAATTTGATTTTTGTTCTAGATGAGCGACATCGGATGTCGAACTTGAGTGAGATGAGACAGAATATTATTTTATATTTAACACCAATATCTATACCGCGTATAAAACTTAGATTTTTTTGGAATATTCGGAAGCTAAAAATAACTATAAACTAGTATGTTAGAGCAACACAATAATGTGTTGTTATTATTATTAACAGTACTTATTCACATTATTTTCAAAATTCAGTAACGTTTAATAGATACTAAAAATAAACAACCTTATAATACCAAAATGTTTTTATTTAATTAGACACTCAACGTTTCGCTTTACAGCTTCTTCAGGAGCGTTCACTAAAACACAAACCGAAACTGATCAATATGCAATACAGAAATTAAATAACTAATAGATGTTAGTACATAGTATGGCATTAAAAATATTGTGATTCCTTAAAGTAGACGATAAGTTTTCAAATATGTCTTCTTTATTTTTTTGTAAACGCCTTGACTTTCGATGAAGTACGTGTTAGGCTATTTGTACAAATCTTGTCACCTACAAACGCTGTAAGGGTCTGGTATCATTGAGATGAACTTTTAAACGCAATTAATTATTTTTTTCTGATATCTTTCTACAGCAAATGTATCCAAATGATAAAGTTGTTTAGGTATAATTCTTGATAGTGTCAAAGTTGAAGCTTATGTATAATAAAACATCGAAAGTCTCAATGGCCGGCCGTTTTTCACGCACGTTCTTACAAATGTTGCTATGGCTACCGTTTTCCATAACCAACAGTTGCAGGCTTTAAGCCATACTCTCGCCCCGCTGCTCATTTTCGAGTTTATATTGGATAACGTCAATTTTCATCTTCGGAAATTCAGAAACTCCTTCTCAGATCCAAAATGCTCAACAATCCGGATATTTTTTGTAATGTGATGAAGAGTCTCAACCTTAGTGTGCCCATGAAATTTGGTACAACTCCGATCACACTTTGCGGATTATTAACCCGAAAATGCCCTATCTCCCCCATTATAAAAAAAAATGATCCAGACCAAATTTGAGGAAGACTGTCCCATCTTGTGTAAAACTTTCCTGTACATCGATGTATTAATTTTCGAGAAGCGCGAAAAGCGCGCGCGGACCCGACTGCAATACTCTCGCCCCTACCCCTTTCCGGGGACGAGGGTAAAAACCATAATTAATTTCTTTATCCTTTGGTTTCAGGTGCTAAGATTTTATAAGTTGACAAATAAATAGGCGGTGTTTGTAAAAACGGAAACCAAACACGACTCATACCAATGTTGTGAGAAATTTAAGATCTTACAGTTAAATTATAGGTTAGGTAGCTTAAACGCTTATCCGAGAACTAGGGACATGGGTAGAAATCCGGCTCTATCTCATTTCTACAGAAAAAATAAGAATGGTTAACCCTAGAAGTAGTGCAGAGTTTCTACTGCAGTTTTCCATCTTAGCCTATTTAATGAAATACTCATATATTTTAAACAAAATATGTAGGTTTTAACTCTCTTTTTTTTACATTTAGGGCTAAGGATTATAAATACGTTAGTGACTATATTTTGACAGTCATAATACGATTTCAATGTCTATGTTTACATCCTTACTGCAACGCATGCGCAGTCATGTATTTTTAAAGTTTATATTATCAAATCTCGATCGCAACCTGGTAGGATGGTACTGTCGTAATCCTGACTACTAGTAGTTGGTTGATGGACGGTACGTCTAAGGACTTGCAACGCTAGAATCCGGGGTTCGAATTCTCACGGTGTACAGAATGCAGATAGCGTATTGTATAGCTTTGCACTAAGAACACAATAGCAACAACTAGGCATGGAACATTTATTTGCAAAATAAAGTTATTTTGAAACATTTTTTGTCATTAAAACACGCTTAAAATATTTTATTTAAAATAGTCAGTTATTTTTTAAATAGGCTTTGTATAAGACACCTCCAAAAAAGTAACATGATGAACGGTGGGGTGGAGACTTATGCTTCTGTACTAGTTAAAGGGTTATAAAATGGTAGGTCACCCTTAACATTTCTAATTGTTTGTTGTTTCTTCATTACTGTGTGATAATTACAAATTTTTAATGATTGCAAAACAATTGAGATAGAAAGAAAATCAACTAAAACTAGAACTTAATAGGCAAGAAGGCTGTCAAAATACCTTTGTGACAAGACACTTTGCTGCGTCCTCAATATTGACGTTATCCTTAGCCGATGTCAGATACCACCCAATAAACCCGTTGTCATGACAAAACTCGTCCATAAGAGCGGGATTATTTACTGTTCCATCTTTCGGCATATCACACTGAAAATTAAATAAAAAATAGTAATAATACGACTAGAACTTCTAATTAATTCGGCTTGTTTATAAAATATACACTACTGATGAGATCTTTAATAAACAAGTTACAATTAAAACTTACTTTAACATTTGTAACATGCATTAGAATATATCAGAGAAGGCTTAACATCTACCTTCTCATGTCAATATGTGCGTATTTCGAAGACACCAACGCCATCTTTAATAACAAATAAGACTGTAATAATAACAGTAAAAAAAAACAAAAAACGATCGCATTGTAAAAAAAGTATTGCATGAATATTTTATTTTATTCACTTACCTACCAAAAATGGTACTGAATTAAATTATAGGGCTTGTAGTAAAACCGCGTAGCACCCTTAATGATACGTTTTGAAAAAATGTTAGCATTGTTGCGATTAAACTAGTATAATTGATCCAAGGTTAGGAACGACTACTACAAGAATTATGTTAAGGTGATGAATTTATAGGACTAGGGAATTGTTACTTTTGTTAAAATCTCTATTTTTAATCTATACGTTTCTATAAATTGTTGAGTTTATTAGCGTGAGTTATTCATTGGACAAGTTTGTCATTGTCAATAAGTTTTAGTACTGTGAATACCGAGTTTGTAGTCTGCATGTAGATAAATATATTTGAATTGATTGTTTGGTTTTGAATTTCGCGCAAAGCAACACGAGGGCTATCTGCACTAGCCGTCCCTAATTTAGCAGTGTAAGACTAGAGGGAAGACAGCTAGTCATCACCACCAACTCTTGGGCTACTCTTTTACCAACGTATAGTGGGATTGACCGTCACATTATAACGGCTAAAAGGGCGAGCATGTTTCGTGAGACAGGGATTCGAAACCGCGAGTCGAGCACCCTAACCACCTGGCCATGCCGGGCGATTATTCGGTAAAACGGAAGATTAAATAATGCAAAGTACGTCCAGTACACTTACTGATAATGAATGCGTTTTATTCCTTGGACCAAACACAAGTTCTACAACTTACACAGTTTTAAGTAACTAACGGTAACCCTAACTTCCCAAATAACGCTAAATAGTTACTTGTTAATTTTCTCGTATCTCTAGTATTTCGTTAAAACACAAACCTAAAACAACAAAAACTGAACTAACAGCTAATCAATTAATAAATATTATTACTAAATAATTAATCGAATCCCTATAACAGACTCATTAATCAATCTAATTTAGTTTCACCCAACTTAGGTTTTATCCAATTTTTAAATTATTTTGTGCCTTAGCGCCATTAAATTCTAACAAAATTTTTATATTGAATTATACAAGCACAAGTAGTCTGCATTTTAAGTGTTTAATTTGTTTACAGATACCAGATATAAAGAAAACAATGAATGTAAAAGTGTTGGGGTCAAAATTTTTTGTTGATATAAACATAAAGAAAACAACAGACGTCGAGGTATTGGGACAAGAATTTTCGGTCGACATAAACAACAAAATGTAGACGTAAAGAAACCAATGAACGTAAAAGTGTTGGAACGAGAATTTTATGTCTACATAGACATAAAGAAAACAATGAATGTGGACATGGTGAGATCAGAAAGGTTAGTTCAGATACAGCAAACTTCATTAATCATTGAAATGTAGCAGGAGGATTACATAATCCAAATGATAACATGACAAATTGCTTCAATAAATTTCCTACAATAAAGGCTGTCTTCTCTCCTCTTGCTGTGTCGATTTATACTTGCCAATATTCACTGTTAAGATCCAAATTTGAAAACCATTTTGATCCCATTAGAACATCCAAAATAGAGTCAATCCTTAGCAGTTGGTATACATTTTTCTTTCTGACTTGATTCACCTTCTGATAGTCTACACAGAACCTTGTGAATCTATCTTTTTTTAAACAAGTACAACAGGTGATGTCCACAGTCTAATATTCAATTCTATCGCTTCTTGTTCCTTAATGGCTTCTATATCTTTGAAAGCAACAGCCTATTTTGCAAACAGGAGTTGTCTGGTTAGCTGACTTATTGGGGCTGCATCTTCAGTATAAATCTTGTGAGATATTTTATATGTTTGGCTTAAGTCACGAGGTCTACTAGAGAAAGTATCCTGATATTCTATGATCAAGTTATATAATCTCTGACATTGATCATCTGCAAGTCCTACAGTCATTCAGTTCTTGTAAATTATGTTATAAGCTTTCCTTATGTAAGGATCTGATAACAAACTCCCTACATCTCTTCTCAAAGGTGACAACTTCTGATGTTCTTTGATGTACAACCTTATTTATATCTTGCAGTGTCCCATGCAGATTTGACTAGAATTTTATGGTTTGTTGTGTTCATGATCTTAATGATGACATCTTTATCAAAAGATCCACAAGAGACACTAGATGTAAATTTATTTTAAACAAGTCCTGGTAGAGCACTTCACTTCTCGGTGGCACAATGACCACCCTCCTTATTGTGACTGGAATTTCAGTCTCTGGCATATTAATTGTCATATAATTCACAAGACTTCTCTGTCACAGACTGTGAAGATATTTGAAGCTAACTTAACCTTGCACCAACGTCCAAGCATTAAGTCAGTTCCCAGTATGCACTCTTCCTTCATGTAAACTATCCACACATCATGAGGCATAGAGTCGTTTCCCACAGTAAAGGTAACTCCTAAGTTTCCTCTTGCTGGAACGTGATATCCACTTGCTATTCAAAAATCACTCCCTCTTCATATCTGAAGGCAGTTCCCACCTTTCATTACAAATCAGGGTTGAACAACAGTCAAGAAACTGCAAGGTTCCCATCAATAAACCCATGGATTCATGAACTTGTTTCTTTAAATTGTGAACTTTGTTTAATTTAGTGCAGATGAGGTAATTAAGCTGAACTTTGCCACGTAAGTCCAGCTAATTCCTGTTTTCTGACGTATGGTTAACATGGAATTGTTTCTTTGACCAGGTTAGGTATGAAGACTAATCCTTGGAATATTGTTTCTTAACAAGTGTCGATTCCTCACAGTCTCGGCTGTAACAGACAGGTTCCCACATCCATAACAATCCCTCCTTTCTGATATTATTTGTAAGAACTATTATGTACAAGCATTTGTCTGCCATTCTTAGCAACGTGTACTTTCAAGTTATACTGAAACATCTATTGTCTTGTGGTTTATTTCATCCATTCTGTGTAACTAGTTGTCTAACCAATTCATTTTAGTTCTTTTACACTATCGCCAGTGTGAATTAGTGTGTTCAATACTGCTTGATCTGACGATCCCATAACTTTGAGATGCTGTCTTGGATTGTTTGTTTGCACAGCTTCCTTTAAAGATGTACACCTATTTCTGTCAGATTTTAGGGTCGCTAATTCTTTACAGTAGGTGTCTGTGATTGGTTGGCGATAAATTTCAACAATAAATGGACAGCACATAATCCACTTGTTTTAAAATAATATATATATTCAAAACAAGTCAAACGTATGTATAAAAACTTCGTTACACTATTAGTTACCACAGTTGAATCTAGAGCTTTAAATAATTCTCTTTTTCGTCAAAAGTCCACACAGGCTGATTCAATTACTTTAGAACTCAACTGACAATACGAATTATTTATTCTCTCCTCTGTTAGCACAATACAATCAGTAATAAATTCACTTACGTTACTCCGTTACATTACGTTGAACTACATACATAATGTACAACTCATACAGTTACATAACAAAACTTGACATATCTATCATTTTTAAAATAATTAACTTTTAACACTTGTTATGAAAACTCAATAATAATAATTAAATATTAGATCACAAAATAAACTAAATAATAAATCTTAAACTGAACTGTCTTTTATATCCAACAACTTTTCTTCAATCTGATTCTCATATCCTCATCTACTGTGAATTCTATGAATTTGTCACGTGCCAAAGAATCTATAATTTAACAAGGAGAATCTGGGTAAGATAAGAAGGCAAGCCTTTCCAAAACTTCTCTCCTCCGTATCCTGCACCAAAACATTGCTCTGGATACCACTTTCTGATGTGACGCTCCAATCTGTTGAATAAAACAGCTACCAATGCTTTATAGTTATTAAGGCTCTCAGTTTGAAGGTTACTTTCAATGTTGTCAAAACTGATACTTTTAAATGGATAGTTCACTGTTCCACCAATTCACTTTGGAAATGATTTCAAACTGAACCTGGTACGTCTCTCATGGTATCTACTCATCATTGCCCATAGATTTTTCGACAGGCTGATGTTGAACTGATAGTTAAATTCTGGAACTGGTTTTGGTAGTATCATGGCTACAATATTTCAGTAACAGGTGGCACAACAGTAGTGGTAAAAGGTATAGAACAAATAAGTCTTCTATTTTGTAGTAAATTATGTTTTAGGTTGGAACACTACAACAGTGGTGATAAAAGGTGTAGAACAAATAAGTCTTCTATTTTGTAGTAAATTATGTTTTAGGTTGGAACACTACAACAGTGGTGATAAAAGGTGTAGAACAAATAAGTCTTCTATTTTGTAGTAAATTATGTTTCAGGTTGGAACTCTTTTGCCGATGAAGAAAGACGTGTGGCTGGTTTAATCTCTGCACTTAATAATTCGTTTCTGGATGTTCTTCTCTACCTCAGTGACATCTTTCTTTACTTCACTTTTGACTTCTCGGTGTTTTTTTGTACAAATTCAATCTTGTCATTACCGTCTTCCTGTACTTCTTTGATGTCCTACTGCATTTATTCAAACTTACTGTTGTAATCCCTGTGTACGTCCACTATAACTTCATCAGATTTTATTTTTAATTCTTTTTCAATATTACATCTCTTACCTTTTCATCATCTTTAAATTTTATGTAAGCTTCTTCTTGGCCTTCTTTTATTGTTCTATATCTTTCTAATTAGTCTTATTTTAATTTTCTGTAAATTTCTTATTGATTTTCTTTTTAGTTTCTGTTTGGTTCCTCCTGATCTTTTCTTAATAATTTCATCATCTCAAGTATCACTTCAATTTCACACTATAACCTCATGGTTGTCATCTTTAACAGCTGAAGTTCAACCTCAAGTATATTCAAGGATCTATTTCATTAGTACCAAAGCAATTCCATTTCTGACACCAGTGTTGTAAAGCTGTTTTTCGTTGGTGGGTTCTTTCAAGTTATCTGGTGAAAAATTAATCCAACTTCCAGTCCAAATAACGATATAAAATTCGCTTATTTCTCGTTTGACGTTTTTACTACCTTAAACACAGTGGTAATTTGTAAACCACATTTACAGCAATGCTAACTGTACCATACTAAGTAAAAAATAAAATTACTTGTATAACTTCACAGCTGATCAATCCAATAATTGAAAACAAAACACTGACCAATTCACTGCTAGTTGAAAAATAAACGCTCTATGACTGATTTATTCTACTAACTAAAAATAATTCTTTTTTACGCTGATGCTTCACCAAATCTTGTATTTGTAATCTACTCCTCGAACTAAGTAGAAAATCTGACGACAAAATTTTTAGAACTTTCAAGGCCAACATAGCCGTGGTAGTTAAGGCGCTCGACTTGCAACCTGTGAGTCGCGAGTTCGAATTTGGTCACTGAACATGCTTGCCCTTTTAGCCATGGAAGAGTTATAATGTGACGGTCAATCCCGCCTTTCACTGGTAAAAGAGTAACCCAAGAGTTGGCGGTAGGTGATGTTGACTAGCTGTCTTCCCTCTAGTCTAGCATTTCAAAATCAGGGATGGCTAGCGTACACAGTTCTCGTGTAACTTTACGCGAAATTCAAAATAAAAACAAACAAGACCTACGGTAATAAACTTTTCGATATTAACGTCATTGGACCTCTAAATAACATCTAAATTACAATATAAAAAAAGTCTATGACAATAAAAACAACCACAAAATTAAAAACCATTCTTTGTTAGCTTGGTTTCTAATGTAACCGATAACAACTGGAAGCAAAACTTACTTGTTCAGAGAACAAAAACAGAATTTAAAAGACATCGTTTTCTCTTCTGCATTTATTATTATCGACAAACAATTCCTGAAGGCGGTTGCTGAAACTAACCATAACACCACTCGCAAAAATTAAAGCATAATAAGATTTTGATATGTCTTTTTTTTTAAAACAAAAAAAAAAAGGGGGGGTTAAAATTTAACCAGGGAAAAAGGAACCAAGCAAGTGAAAAAATTCATTT